GCACGTTAACCTCTCAATATTCAGTTTTGCTCCCAATGATCCATCTACTGATTTCCTGATGACGTGGAAATTAACTCCAAGAAATAAAATGATTGAATAAATTAATTCAGGAAGCCAGCCGCCAAAGTTGCACTATAGACAAATAAAAAAAATAGGCAATTGCATCAATCTCGCTAAACAATTCAATATTACGCTGTACGTTAAAGGGAGTGGAAAACGCACCATAGTATGTATCCCGAGGGCAGTTATTTAAAACGGACCGGGATCAAAGTGAGGCGGACGACAATAGGTTGAAGCTGTTTTGGAAAACTGAACTTGATCATGAAAAAGCAGCATACCAATGTGCCTAAAGAAAGCAACGTGGACCACTGACAGAGAACGTGAAACTCAAGCTGAAAAGCGCACAGAGATACACACGCTTAAGTTACACTGGGCGACAGAAAGATGAACACAAGTCACAGACATAACGTTGACTCTTCAGACAAGTGGGTTTGGGCAGGAAATGTCGTGAGAGGTGATGACGGCCGGTGGTTGAAACTCATGACGGAGTGGCAGCCAAAGCGGGAAAAGGCATACGAAAGGACTTGCACAGAGGAGACGGAGGGATGAGATCAGCTCGCGTGCGGGGGCTACATGGATTATTGAATAAAGTCACCGTGAGGGATAACGATGACTTGGAGTGGGGGGGGGGGGAAGGCTTCATTTAGCAGTGGATATATCATGGCTGATTATATATGTGAAGTAATCCTTATACATTTTATACCTACGGAAGGCCAGTAAACCTGTTTGCGGATTTTTTTGTAGCGTTTTCCCCTTGTCTGTGTGGGTTGTACTGGGTACGGTGTCTTCCACCCACAAGCAGAAAGCTCAACATTCAAAAACTGGACCATGCTGACAAAGCTTACGATTTAGTGGGGCATTCTTAAGTAAATTCTTTAACAGCGTGGCCAAGAGGATTAGGCTGAGTAATCAACAACAATGTTTGGCGAATTATCTGTAGAGTTGTTATCCGTCACTCAACTGTGTTGAATAAAAGAGTATGCATACAACGTACACGCAGAGACCTCTATTAATCCACTGCTGGATGAGGGCCTTACCACGCCATGTGGGTAGTGGGAGTTATTTGACCATACTTCACCTGGCTGGTCAATACGGATTGGTGAAGGTGGGAAACGTGGATGAGGGAGCGTTTTATTAAGGTACAAAAAAATATTTTGCAGCCAACCTTATAGCCCTGCTTACCTGTAACACAACCTGTTCCACAAGGTGGTCACCCATTCAAGCATTACCCAGGCTCACACCTGCTTAGCTTCTGAGATTCGATGACATCGGGGTTCATTCCGGTCCGGAGTATTTAAATCACCAGCTTGCACACTGTGCTGTCACATTAATACATAAAAGTCGACGAGAATTCAACGTGAATGACTCACTCAATGCGATTTCACATTGTGCCTGCTGAACAGCAAATAACGAGAAGAAAAACCTAAGCACTCCTCTTATCTCGACACTGTACTCTATCTACATTTCATCATCCCACCCAGGGGTGCACAGCAGCAAGAGAGAATGCGAGGAGGCGTTTTACTATGCTGGTCTACACATGCAGGCCTTCATCTGGCATTGGAGTGATCATTGGCGATGACGATAATACACACATACACAAAGACATTAGTGTTTTTGGCATATATCTCCAGAATTGTGACCACATTTTTGAGTTATGTTCATAATAATGTTCCCCACTAAACATGTTCCCATTTAAAGGAGTGGACGTCTCTGGGCAAAACAAATTATAATAATTGTAGCAATGGAAATGCTTGGAAAAATAAACGGTCCCTAAAAAAAAGTACATGGGTCGCGGTGTGTCACGTGGTTTCTCTCATACAACATGTGAACGTGTGCTGTGCACATTAACAGCAGTCGGAATGCACGCATGTGAGTTCCACAACGAGTCTGTCGCAAGATGCCTCTTCTCCTAAACGAACGCAATCTCGTGCTGCGATCACAAACTCGGCACAAACCAGCACGATCACAATCCAATAGCTCGAGGAGCTTAAATGAACTTGAACGGCATTGCCTTAAAAACAAATGGAACAGATTTGAAGTTTTCGTGACTGCAAGGGTCCATACTCTGGCAGTGGAGTGATCAAAGAGTATGGGCAAATGGAACAGTCAGGCACTAAGGGGCAATACAAGTGAAAGCTCTTAGGCAGACCTGCCACGGACTCGCGTGTGTGTACATCCCACCTAAAAAAAGAGTCGAGCATGCTTGCGGTGAGTGTGCGTGTGTGTTATCTGGATGTGCCTGTCAGCTGCGCCCTCGTTGTGACGCAACACGTGACCTTCGCCTCTGCTCACAACTATGGTGAGAGAGAGAGTCGGAGTGTAGTGTGTGCAAGAGGGAGGAGGGGTTCAACGGAGGAGTGTGTTACCAGCGATTTCACCCTCGGGTCATTCCGAGCATTAAAATGACCGCGACACTCCCAACTGTACTGCACTCATCATCATCCTCATCCTCCTCCTCGTTCCGTGAAGCTCCCACTGCTGTCTGACGAAATCGACATTCATTTCGTGCTCACCTCGTTTTTTCTACCCCCCCCCCCCCCACAACGAGAGGCCAATAAAGCACGGCTGTGTGCGCGTCTGTCCGTATACCCCCTGACGGTCCCCGCCGTGACTTGCATTTCCATTTGGACATCGTACACCGCTGGATAATACATCACGTACGATGGTGTTCACGAAAATGTAACCACGTGCAACAAACAACAGGGGCATTTGTTGTTTGTTGCAAATACAGTCGTGAGCGTGTGCATACGAGGATGGAGGAGGCGGGGAGAGACAGAGTGAGGAATAAACGCAAATGTGTGGACTGGGTGTATGGCATTATCCATCGCCTTGTTTATCCAAAAGCGAAGTTGGGCATTGTTGTTGGAAGTTGGCGAATTTCGATGCATAGATTTGACAACGATCAGTGGTGGCTGTCTCCACTCATGCACTGGGCAAAAATCAACAAGCATCGCCATGTCGGCGGCACAGACAGGTCCAAAAAAGAAATATGCGCGCACAAAGACAAAGATCACCCGTTTAGCCTTAACATGCTGTTGGGGCAAGTGCTGTTAGCGAGCACCTATGCAGGACGAACGGCACACGATGGGGATGGGTGGCCAGCACCACGCTCGGCCGCCTTTGTCCCCCTTGTAGCAATGTTTACCCATCGCACCGGGTACTCATTTGAGGCTGGGTCGACCTAGGGGAGGGCCAGCACCCGGTTCAGATATTTGTCACTGGTATTGGCCGTGAACGACAATCGAACTCTGGTCGCCGGGGATCGTACCACTACGCACATTGTTACTACTGCTGCCCCGTTACCACGCTTTCCATACCACCCACACCCCCGGTACTAGCGGATTATCAGAACCCCCAAAGGAATCGCACTCTGGCCCCGTGAATGGCTCCACAAAAGGGCGACATCACGAGACGTGCATGACGCCATTTAGAGCGAAGGCCATCTGGGGGAGAGACCGCAAAACAAGTCGCTTGCAACAGCAGCTGTACTCGTCACTATGGCTAGGAGTTTGCCACGCCAACAAGTTTGGTGACATTTCCACTTGACACTTTTCAGGAAGTTAAGAAGAAGAAAATACAGCATGTTCAATTGCCTCGGGCTGAAGAGTGGCTGTCCTATGTATATACCATTTCGTTCCGACAAGTTCCCAAATTGAACCCCCATATACTCTTCAGCAGTAGTGCTTGCCCTATCAATACACTAAGTACGTCATAGGAATGTGGATTTTCCACCACGAGCCTGGGTTTGTCAATGAGCACGATAACTAAACGCTTGTTCGAGTAGAAAAACTGATTTTTTAAAATCTATTTAAATGCGGAAATGTTGACCTCTGCCACAGTATTTCCGTAAGTACTTTGTACTGTAAATACTTTATCCCATCAATGAATACGTCTTCTAGTTAGTGCAGTACTGTGATTTCACAATTGCGATAATTTCGAGGAATGTTTTCCGAACTTCATTGGAAACCTGAGCAAATGACCTGATGTTGTTGCATGCTTTGTTTGGCACAGGCGCTTACCATGAATACAGTTCAAGCACGGCGACATATCATCAGGTTTTTAAACACGATTTGTTTTCGGTGACGAAAATAAGACAAAGCAGAAAAAGAAGGTACACTGTATACTATACACTTATTTAACCACAGGGAAGCGTACTGCTTCGTTACGTAAACCGCACGCGAAGGACACACGACTTTACATCAAACAGATGTATCACTGCTGGCTGAACCAGACACGTTAAACAGTACGTGCTCTGGGCCGCAACAGTTCAGTATAACAGCGTTCTTCACGGTCATCATTTAAACGTCGCAAACGCGTAATGGTAAAACCGCACACACATATGTTGAGCGTGGAATGGCAAAGTTCCAACTCTGTTCTGGAAAGAACAGTATGAGAAAGAAGTTTAATCGACCAAGGGTCAAGCGTTGACTTGCCCTATGACCTCTCACAACTCACTCCTACCACGGCCCGAGCAAGCACAGACCTGCACGGACAACACACACTGTGAGTCAAGTGTAGAAGCGGACGTGCAACGTTATTTCACGCAGTCCATGAGATGATGGAGCATTTGCTCCATGAGCTTCCACTGTGCACATCTATCTGCTAGGCTCACGTCTTCCAACATGTGTGGCATTACCTGAGCCGTGTCCCTGCCACCTATTGTTATCACCGCCATGCCCTGTCTACTGCCCTTTCCTGCCCGATTGTCCCTGCCTGACCCCAATCCATCCGAGATGCCCACGTCCCCTACCAGGTCCATGCCCCAGACCTGCCTCAATGCCCCTATCTGCGTACTGTACCATGTCCCAGACACCTACAAACACCTCTCTCAATGCCTCGATCAATACCTATAACCCCACACGCCACACCATTGCCCCACACCTTCAATCCCTCCCTGCCCCGTGTCCTCGCCCCCTACCCCATGCTCCCTCTGTCAGTACCTGTTGCGAGTCGCCGTGTCCCAGCGTCTCCATCATCATCATCTTTTCCACGCTGCTGCCGGCTGGTGTCCAGACGAGGTGGATGTGAGCTGGACGTCCCCGGGTTGAGACACCACCACCACCACCCCCCCTGTCTCCGGCTGAGAAGCGAACTCCACCGTCCCCTCTCTTGTGCTTCCGCTGGTCAATATCTCTCTCGCGTCGTCTCCCCAAGTCAGCCGCTCTCTCCTCTGGGGGGGGGTCTTGTCTCTCTCTCGTGTCTGTCTGTCTGTGTGTCTGTCTGTGTGTCACGCTGTCTGCTGCTGTGTCTCTCTCGACGTCGTCTCTCCGTGTCTCAACAACCCAAACCTCGCCCCCCACCACCTCCACCACCAAACTCTCTCGCCGCTGGTTCGACGCTCAGCCCCCACACCCCGCCCCTCATCCCCCGGTGTGGGGGTGGTGAGGGGCGGGGCTCGAGCGCGTGCCCACCCCCACACCCCGCCCCTCATCCTTTGGTGAGGGGTAGCAAGGGGCGGGGCTCGAGCGCGTGCCCACCCCCACAACCCGCCCCTCATCCTCCGGTGAGGGGTGGCAAGGGGAGGGGCTCGAGCGCGTTCCCCCACACCCCGCCCCTCATCCCCCGGTGAGGGGCGGGGCTCGAGCGCGTGCCCCCACACCCCGCCCCTCATCCCCCGGTGGGGGGCGAGGGGCGGGGCTCGAGCGCGTGCCCCACCCCTCCCTCCCCCGCGATCGCGTGCGAGAAGCGCGTGACGGGAAATCAGATTTACCACTGCGCATACGCGCGTGCGTTTCCCCCCCCCCCCATCAATTGTATTTCCCACTGCGTTTAAGAGTGGCCGGGTTTTGTGCTGCCGTATTTGGGACATCGCGCGGCGGTCGTGGGTTTTGTTTAATATTTCACACCGCGGCGGATAGGGATGTGATGGTTATTTCACACAAGGTGTAAGAAAGGGCGATTCTGGGTTGTTTTTATCTCACGGATGCGGACGCAACAATAATTAATCTTTGAGCTGAGCAATTGTTGCGAGAGGCGAGGTTGGAAGTGATTATAGCCCCTATGGCTTCTTCTACGAATGTTTTATTATGGGACACCATCACCGCATGGAGTTGCACGTCGGAAAGTCGTGTACATATCACGGTGGATGGATGCACAGCGAATAGTTTGTTCACCCCGCCGCCCGCAGCTGAGATTTTAGCGCGGTTGGCTACGTACGGTGCGAAAGAAGTTCAGCATACAGTGAGGCTACTCATCGGGGAAGTATTCTAATTATGACAAATGCTGGTGGTGGGTGGAGGGAAACGAGGGCCAGGGTTTCCGTGGGAAAAGCAGCTCGCAAGGGATGCCTCTGACGAGATTAATGAGCAGAGAGTTGAATAAGTTGAACAGGAGACTCGTGAAGACCCGAATAAAATGGAGTGTAACTATTACGGATGGACACAATTGGTCTTGCGTGGGTTTGTACGCAGCAGAAGCTTGAACTCTTCGACAAGGAAGACAGGAGAAGGCTGCAAAGCCTTGAGATGCGTGATTTGTGGCATCAAATTGATCAAATAAATTGGGTGATGGGGAACGAGAAATCCTGAAGATCTTGAGCAAGTTCAGGAGGAGACGAGTCTTGTTAAAGAAAAATCTAGAGAATACAAATATATGGATTTGGCCACGTTTCAGAGGTGGAAGCTTTATGGAATGGGCTCTGGAGCGAGTAGGGGATGTTTGGGAAAAGGACAAAGAGGCAGACACAAAAAATGCTGCCCGACAACTTGACGGAAGGGTTCTTTCGGTTGCCTTTTTTTTTTTGTGAAGAAAGTTCACGGTCGGAGAGGATCTAGGAGGGAGTTTGAGCGGGAGATTCTGCCATTTGGCAGAAGACACAAGACTGGATAGGCGTCCAGGTCGCTTCTGAAAAATAATCTAATAGCTCAGTGGGCTTTACCTGCTAAGATAAAAAAATGAGTTAGTTTTATTTGTAGATATTTTTTAAGTGATTGGTTTGCATTTCCTATAATTTACACTCAAATCGTGTTTTTTGTATTGTTCGTTGCGACGTTCTGGCCTGCCCCTTACTGGACATCTGTAAAAAAAGTGCTGTATAGCTCATCGGATCTCCTCTTGTAACATAAATACATATTCTGATTATGGATAGGCGGCCTCAGGTCGTTACCTTGGCTAGTGACCCATTGGGCAAATGTTGATGGCAGAGTGGTTCGCCAGGGCTCAGAGGGCACGGGTCCCGCGTACCTTGTCCACTAGTCGGGCTCCAGGGGCCGTGCCCTCTGGCGGGTTAATGTTTATTAGAGGCGCTTGTTTTCCTCCTGAAATATAATAAAAGCTGCGGCGCCCCGGTGTTGTTTACGCAGACATGTCCACATACATTAGTAGCTTTGTGCCGCAGTTTTCCGTTGGCATCTCGCACTTGTCAGTAGGGACAACTTTGGCCCAGCAACTCCAGCACAAATGAGATAAAAACGCAGATAAAGTCTCCCTGTGTCGGAGAACCTTCCCGTAACAACAACAGCACCCGGACTTCACCTACACACTGCACAGATAACAACACTGTACAAAGTGTTCCCCTGGTCAAACGGCCCTTTTGTGTATGTGTGTGTTGCATTGTCGTATTTGGGTAGGTTTTAATAGACGTCTGGAATGGTGTTTGACCATTTTTGTCTCCACGTGTGTGCGTATTCAAGCGCTCCACCATTAGTTGTGGGTCCTGAAAAGAGGTTTTAACTCGAGGGTCAATCTGTGTCCCCGCAAACCACGTGAGGGTTAGGTGGCGTCTACACCTCTGTCGGTGGTCCCAAACCAAGGGGGCATTCAAACAGGGAGGTTATTTGACCATACTTCACCACGCTGATCAGTGTGAGTTGCTATAGGCGGAGAGCATAGACACGTGACCATAGTATACTCCAACACAATTTCACTACACTGCCCTCAGCTGACCACCACTTTAACACGAACGTGTACATAGCATGTGAAATAATACAATTCGTGGATAGTTTGGTGTTTAAAGTATTACATCTGTTAAGGGACTGGGTCACCTAAAGTAGTTTCAATAGTTTTTGTCTAAGATATGTATGCCGGTTCGTCTCTGCACTGCAATATACTTTCCCTCGCATATCAGCATTGTTCCATGGGCTTTCCGTGATCCATTTTGTCGTCTCTTTCTGTCAGCTTAATCCCCGTTTGCCACACCCAAAACAAAATGTGCAATACCTACCCGCTCAAAGCATCGCATCAATGTGTGTGCAGAAGTGGCTGCTTTTTTGTATCTATCCATTTTGAGTGATTGCATACGGTGTGCATGGGCAAGTCTTCCTTCCGATAGTAGGAAGCCACTGGGAGGTGTCCACTTTTCAAGTCTAGATTGAAAACTAATTTGATGAGAACTAATTTTTGTGTTTAGTTTGTTGTTCTTCCCCGCCGCACCTCCAATTAGCACGGTTGGCTACGTACGATGTGAAAGAAGTTCACCATACATACAAACACACACACCAAATCTCAATCTAGTCGTGGCAGTGTGAGGCATGTAGAGGCTTTTACAAATAAATATTATATTGCGTAAAAGTTAACAGGTTTGAGGAAATATTTTCTTCACTGCTAGCCACAATTGACATTTTAACACAAAATGTGAAATTTGGCAAAGATGAGGTAACTAATTGACTCATGTGTTAAGATATATGCCTCTTAAAATGTTTTGAACGAAAAACTATAAAATATATTTATTTACCAGGTAAGGCCCACTGAGCTATGTAGCTCTTTTTCAGAAGCGACCTGGCCACAAATGATGGCTCACTGAAGTGGCTTGTCATTATGGAAATGTATAGCAGCCGAATACTATAAATGCTTTTTTTATACATGTGGAGGGAAAAACCAGAGGACCCGGAGAAAAATCCACACGACCACGGGGAGATCATGCAAACTCCAAATATACAGGCGTCAGAGTTCGGATCAAACCAACGACCTCCTGTATATCAGGCGAGGTATTTAACATCTCACCACCGTGAAATGGGTGTTTTCAGAGCCTAAGGTTAGAAAAGCATCAGGAAGTCGGGGTGACGATGGGATCCAAGAAGGCCGCATGTGCATTGCGTCTGGTGTTGCTCATCCAGAAGTACAAAAAACCGGGACAAACAGCAATACTATCTAAATACTGGAAGATGGGAAACTAACATACAATCTACAAAAAAACTCGACTTTTATAGTTTAATAATCCAGATATGAAAACGTACATATTTCCCAGGACAGCTATCTCGAAAAAGGGTACGATCCTCAGAAAACTAGGACAGGTGACACCCTCGTTGTGTCACATGCAGTGGTGGCATAGCACGGTTGGCATGAGCCCTGGTTCACGAAATGAAATGGGGGGGGGGGGGGCCCTCTCGACAATTTTCTCGCTTTCCGTAGCCTTTCTCCCTCCTCCAGTCCGTGAGCCCTCAGTGCATTGGTAGGCGCCTGCACACTCGATAGCCGCCACACTACTGGTCCCAGTCCGTAACCACAACCACCATTCTTCCTTTGTGCCTCCCAGAATGCTCTTAATTCTCAGAAACCTATCACGTTTTATGGTCGTAAAATAACAAAAACTTCTGTAAAGTATATATCGTTAGAATGGTTTCATTGGCAGGTTTGTGAAGTCTGAAGTTCGATGTTTTTTTTATGGTTTCGGATTTTTTTTTGTTAAATCCCACTGTCCTCACATAGGGTTAGCGAACTTAAAGGCGGCAGCAGCAGCAGCCTCTTCAACGGGAGAACGCAGCTCTCTTGACAGCGAGAGAGTGGGCAGCTGCTCACTGATGCATGTCTTGAGAATACGGTACAGTGCTCCTTTACCCGAGAAAGTTTTAAGGTGTTTCCACTGATACGCGGCGCGCAGATTTTCAGTATCGTTCGTATGTTACCCGGTCAAATAAAAAAGTTTAGTTATTGTTGAACTTCCTTCGCACCGTATGTAGCCAACCGTGCTAATCGGATGTGCCAGTATCCTTTTATCTGTATTTGTACCATTGTTAACTACAGTAACCTAGTGCCAATCTGTCAATGTTTCAGCTCGGCGTGCCATCTAAAGTTAAATTCTGCACAATACGTGACCGCATTGTGCAATACTGGACAGTGAATGGTGTTTTGTTAGCCGACGAAGGGGCACGTTACAATACTCCGTGGGAGCAAACTCCAACACTCGAGTCGCTGTGCAGCTGGTGTGTCTCCCAATGTCTCTCCATCGTTGATTGGGCAATGCGTGACCAAACTACAAACAGGAAGTTTAGTGTGTGTGTGTATGTTGCAATTGTAAAAAGTGCTACTGTGTGTAACCCAAACTATAGACCTAGTGCCTGCACAGCAACACAATGACTGATATGGCTGTCAGTCATGTGTGTTTTTTTTTTACCTGAAAATTTCGAAACACACCAAAGACAAAGATACCCCCAAATAGCCTGTAATAGACTGTTGGGTCAAGTGCTGTTAGCGAGCACCTATGAAGGCCGGCACGTCACACGAGGGGGATGGGTGGCCAGCACCACGCCCGGCCGCCTTTGTCTCAGAAAGTGGCGATGTTTACACACCGCACCAGGTACTCATTTGAGGCTGAGTCGACCTAGGGGAGGCCCATGACCGGTTGAGATAATCGTCACCGGTGTTGTCCATGAGAGGGAGTCGAACTCTGTGGGTCGCCGGGTTCGTAGGGCAGCGCGATAACCGCTGCCACGACCACTCTAAGCGACACCATCGCCACCTTCACACACATGCTCTAAACTATGCATGCTCTAAACTATGATGACATTCAAAGTGACTTTCCAACGTATATAATTTAGCTGCTGACACAGTCAGGCCACACCATGGGATGTAATAATGAGGCTATGAGGGAGTTTATGAACATTTTTTTTTCGAGTGTGAATTTATTTTCAAGACCTACCAATGTGATGTAAAACTAAAACTAAACAATTGTTTTATTGTACCAGGTAAGGTTCACTGACCTATATATAGCGACCTCGATACAAATGAGAGCCCAATGAAGTGGCTTAACCACGTCGAAATTTACAGCAGCCAAATATTCTAACCGCACGTTGATTCTAAATGTGGCGGGGAAAAAACGGAGGACTCGGAGACAATAATTGCACACGACCACGGGGAGAGAGACATGCCAAACTCCAAATATACAGCCATCAGGGTCTTAGGATCGAAACCATGACCTCCTGTATACCAGGCGAAGTAGTTAACATCTCGCCACCACCGCGAGATGGTGGTGGTGAGGTATTGGCCAGGGGGTGGGATTGGTACTTTCCGGTCGAATTAGGTGTCCCAAATAACCTTTGCATCTCCACCCCCTCTTAAAACGATGGGAAATTCCCACACCTGTGCAAAGCTCGTTCCTCGAGCTTCCAGCCCTGAGGGTAACACGGCTCAGTGCTCACTGGCACAGGGACGAGGCCACCACCACCACCACCTCCTGCCACAGAGACATGGAGCAAGAGACGTTGGTAACAGATGGTGCTTTTTTATTTCCCCCATCTTTATACACTCATAATGTAGTTGTGCATCAAACTGCATGAAATTGAAACTCCCTTGGGGAAGTCGTGGATGTTTACTGCTTCCTACCAAGGATTCGATCAATTGCTTGTGCAGCAGATTTATACTCTTTGCTTAACTCACATCTGTCCACTCTGTATATCCAGAGAGACCACTACTGGGCTGTCTCCATCCGAGAGGTCCTCTTAAATAAATACGCCAGCTACCCAAAGGACCACTCAGTTTCTGTGACTCCTCCCCCCGTAGCCTCGGCAGAACCTCCTCATTCCAACTAAAAATGCCTTCGTGCTAAAACTTAAGTTTGGTAAAAACAGTAATTTCGTGTGGCTGCTCCACTTTTCTGGAATGTTCTTGCCGCTCATAAACAGCTTGATTCCCTCCCTTCACCCTCCCTCTTTATTCCACTATTCTGCCAACACCCAGAGCTTACTTACAACCTGGTGCCTCTTACTCTCATATTACATTTTGCACTTGCTTTAAAAAAAAACAATTATCGTGTGAAATACTTAGTCTGTTAGTTGTGCAATATTCCTTAAGGACACTGCCCATAATGTTTACAAACCGCCTGATGAAGCTGGTTGTATTCACCAGCGAAACATCGTAATCAATTTGTAAATGTTGTGGGATTATTCTCCAACAAATCGGTTGTGTTGAAGCAGTAATTAATTAATTGCCACGCTTTGTTTTACGGGACAAAAGTTTACTAATTGGCTGTGTCGGGTGGTGGTGGGTTAACGACACACTTATATTTACGCGATCTAACCCACAAAAAAACCCTTTATTATGAAGATTGTTTGTTTTGTATTCCGCTTTTGTTGTTGCTGAGCTTATGCACCACAGATCTCCCATTGTAAAATATCCGGGTAACTGGCTGAACAGGATCATGCGTGTAACAAATCAAAATCAACTGTAATTATAAAATCTGCCACCCGTTTAAGAAATGTTTCTCCCCAGGAGATGGAGCGATTACATCTTTCTCGTGTGCAGGCGCGAGTTTGATTGTTAGGTCACAGGACCGTGAGAGCGGTGGCCTTGATCCAGCAGTGGATCGATCATGGCTGATGGTGATTGATGATGATGGCAGCTAATGTGCGTCAATCTTTAGCGTAGCAAATAAAAGTATAAGCACAAACATGCCAACCTCTCCAAATTGAATAACAACGAGCCGAGGACGAAAACAAATCTAAAGTGTTAATGTTTCAAACCGGTTCAGTTAAATTGGATTATGGTAAACATATACCCAGCAGTATTTGGTTTCTATACATGTCCACATACAGAGTGTATGACGTTTGTTTCGGTAGAAGAACCAAAGATTAGCTTACACCAAAAAATATATATAGCTAACCATCAGAATGCCATATGGTAGGAAATGTGTATACATAACCCGGGTTAGACATTGATTAACAATACAGCATGTAATCGTACAGTAGTTCAACGTATTGTTGTTAATTCGTATTTGAAACATAATTATGTTTCACGTGACGCTATTGCTAGTTTTGAGAGTTTTATTTATTGATTTATGTCCTCCACGATAAATAATAGAGTACAGTGCTTATGAACACAACTCCCGGAATGTGCCCGACCTCGTCCGATCTCGGCAGCTGAGCAGGCTTGAGTCTGGCCAGGGCTTCGATTGGTAACCACCGCCACGCGCAAACAGGTTGTTGTACTGCACCTCGATGCTCCCGCGCCTATGCTCCTCGCCTTACCAGCGTGGTGAAGTATGGTCAAATTATCCCCCGCAACCCGTATGATGTGGGCGAGGGGGGGCGCGCTACTCATCCAGCAGTCGTTGATTGACGTGAAGGGCTGTCAATGTGCATTTAGAAACGTGCGTTTAGAGTATTTGGATTCTATAAATGTCCACATGATGATCAGCCACTGAATTGGACTATCATTTGTGGCCAGGTCGCTTCTGAACAAGAGCTTTATACAGCTCAAGTGGGCCTCACCTGCTAAAATACAAAAACAAATAGGTCCATAGTTTAAATTGTTGAACGTGTACAGCCATTGGTTAGCTGCTCGTGATTCGTCATTGTCCACTTGGCTCAGACCTGAAGGCGTCTCTGTCTCTCTGTGTGCGCCAGGAAGGGTGAGCTGTGGGTGTCGCGGGGATTAGGTGTTACGGAGGCTGCTTATTGACAGCTCGCAATCGGGGATCAAACGGCACGAACCGTGCGATGGGGCTTGCCTCTCTGTTCCCGTGAATCTTTGCCTGTCTGGACATGGTTGCTGGTTATGCGACGGGCTGGCAACTTTTTGTTCCAAGCGTTGCATGAACACCATAGTGGGCGAGATGTTAACTACCTCGCCAGGTATACGGGAGATCGTGGGTTCAATCCCGACCACGATCCTGACGCCTGTATATTTTTAGTTTGCATGCTCTCACTCTCTCTCTCCCTCCGTGATCGCGTGTATTGTTCCCCGGGTCCTCCGGGTTTTCCCTCCACATTTATAAGCCAACGTGCGTTGAGAGTGTTTGGCTCATAGAAATGTCCATATGATAAGCCACTGTGTTGAGCTTATCATTTGTGAACAGGTCGCTTCTGAAAAAGAGTGATCTAGCTCAGCGGGCACTACCTGGTAAAATAAAAACTAGTTTCGTTCATCATGAGGCCTCCTTTGCCAGTACCAAAATATAATAATAGGTCTTTTCCCCTTTTTTTCTGGCAACAAAATTTAATTTTTTACAAAAAATAATTTTTATATTAACCACAAAACCTGCGGTCAGAATGCAAACAAAAAAACACTGTATGAGACTAGGCTCTAAGGAAAGCTGTCTCTGGTGCGGACCAATCATTTTCAAGGACAATGCATACATTATCAGTGTGTTTTTTGTTTGCATTCTGACCCCATGTATTGTGGTTAATGTAAACATGATTCCTCGTAAAAAGGTTTCAGTTTTGTTGCCAGAAACAAGGGGGAAAAACCTATTATTATAGTTTAGTTCAGTTTTAGTTTAAATAAACATCATGCTTTCCATGGCATCAGTAAGTAAATGGCAGCAACGCTTGTGTATTATCATGATGAAACTATACTTATAGCCGCATATGCAGCATCATTGTTGTCGTCAGTCAAGAGCAATCCACTGCTGGATGAAGGCCTCCCGAAGCTGTCGCCGTTTCTCACTATCCCGCAATGTGACAATCCGCACAGCAGCTGTGCACGAGCTGACGACATTGCCCCATCTCCGCGGTCGAGTATTAACGCTGCCCGTTTCGTCTGTCGTTAGTCGTATAAAGCAGTGGTATTGTAATCTAGATTTGAAGTTTTCGTGACTGCAGGGATCCATACTCTTTGGTTCTTTCGGTAAAGTCACGTCGGTATAAAATAAAATAATTTATTTTATTTATAAAGTAAAATAAATTATTTTATTTTAGTAGGTATAAAATAAAATAATTTGTTTTATAAATAAAAATATTTATTTAATTTTATACCTACGTGACTTCACCGAAAGAACCAAAGAGTAGAGTGGTATTGTTACAACAAATAATATGGATTTATTCGTTCCCCGAAGACATAATAACCGAGCCGCTTGAATATTTAGAGGCTTATTTTATTTCTGTCCATAGGAGGGATGGGAGAGAAAAAAACCGTGGGAAACAAGACCTCTTCCGCGTATTTTCTTACGGTTGGATGTTCAAATAATCACATTTATTCTGAATGTCTTATATTACAGCAGTAGTTCTTAGAGTGAAGTCCCCGATACCACCAGTGGGTATGCGACGGTCCTCCAAGTGGTCCCTTGAGGGGCTGTGATGCAGATGCAGACTGGCCCGGACAATAATGACAACGTTTATAGACATTTTGTTTCGGACATTAATTCATATTTGACTTATGATATTTAATTTAAAAATGAAGTTTGCTCAACTACCCCTTGAGTAAACTACCCTAACGCTACAAATCTAAATTCCCCTCCGCTTAAAAAAAACAACAACAACCTTATAGCTGCGTAAAAAAAAAATTAGGTTCCGGTTATTTGAATTAGTGGTATTTAGAGAGATACGCGAATGCGTTTTGTCACCAGGGTGTCGGTCAGCGGAAAGGTTTGCATCGGCTGAGCGGTCCGCGGGCCACAAAATAGTTTGATAAACACTGGGTGACACCAACGAAGATGCGACATTTCTATTTGCAGGAGCCCTTTTTCAAAGTGGTGAAAGCCCTCCTGGTGCTGGACAGCGATGGCTGCCGTCTCTATGGCAAGGTGAATCGCTAGCACGGGCCTCACAGCGGGCCTGGCTCCCTTAAATTGTGGAAGTTTTTTTGCTTTGCGTCCACTTTTATGTCTCGGTAAACTGGCTTACATTAAACACAAACAAACTGCAAGTATGTTTGACTTTCTGAAGATTCTCTGTTGTAAACATGTTGAAATATTCCCACGACGGGAAAACGTGTCCCACGTGTTTCGTTCGTTTTTTTCTTCCCAGTACTTTGATGACACCTTCTGCGGCCCAGAAAAACAGAGCGCGTTCGAAACTAAACTTTTTTCCAAAACCAAACACACAGACAGTAAGTCCTTAAGCATACAATTTGTACTCGCTTTATTTAAACAAAAAATGAATTTTAAAGATACTTGTATGTTCGTCAAATGAATGTGAATGCTTTGCGTGCAACACTCGATGGCGTGATTCAAGAGCCGAATGGCTCACAGAGCTATACCAAATAAATGAAACTGAAAACTGAAACACAAGGTACAAGCGATGCTTGAACACCGTCGTTCTTGCGTAGACACATTCGCATTGTTTACACGCAGCTGACATTCGATTAAAGGGAAAAAAATTGCTTGCCACATATGAACCACAATACCCTTGCTGGTCTGGTCAAGGAGCGTAAACCACCTTCACGCGAACTCTGGTGGTCATCCTTGCAACAGCAGCAGCTTTTGGCTTAAACCATTGAACAAAGACGGCAGCCATTGCATCGCACGCTTTCGGATGCACTTCTGCGGCCATCTGGAACGCTCTTCCTGCCGATATTAGGAAGCCACTGTAGCTGTGCACTTTTAAATCATGTAGATTGAAAACTCATTTCTGTAGAACTGCTTTTTGTGCTTCGTTTGTTGTCCTTCCCCCGCACCTTCGATGAGCACGGTTGGCTACGTACGGTCCAAACGAAATTCAACGTAACGTAACTACATGCCAATCTGCAATTGTGTTGCGGTACTATCATCGCACGCACGTGTTGCTGTTTCATCAGCAGTGTGAAGGGGGAGGGGGGCAAGGCCTGGAGTCCACCGTCGAGTTTGGGCGAGGGGGCCCACTCGTCGACAGTGTGTGCCACACGGCCAATTGCCGAGCACATCCAAAGAGTGGGTTTGTGGCCACGTTGGGCCCCCGTGTCTCGAGGTCGGTGTGCACATGGGGCCCCTGGCCGGTGCGGGACCTGTTGATGAGCAGGCGCCCGTGGCTGGCGCGGCCGATCGAGGCCACGAAAAGGCACACGGAGGGGGTTGAGGAAGTGGTTGTTAATGTCTCGGTTGAACCATTCCTCAACGCCACCTTGATGCCGTAAACAATGCATCCCATCTCATCAGATAATCAGAAGCTAAGCAGGCTGGAGCCAGGTGCTGGGATGGGCGGCCACCGTGCCTAAAACATTAGTTGTCGGCTGCTTGCGGTTCTAGATTGTCAGAAGAGGGTGGCGTGGAAAAAACATCCATTGTTGTACTGTACTATGCTCTCCAACTGGAACTGTCCAGCATGGAGGTCAAATAACATCTATGACCCAAACAGCTGTTGAGGCCATCATCCAGCAGTGGATTGGCATTAAGGGCTTCACGCCGATGGCCTGTATGTGTGTGTGGAATTCGATTCCCGCTCACGGCCAACGCCAGTGATGCTCATCTGAACCGGACCTGGGCCTCCCCTAGGTCGACTTAGCCTCAAATGAGTACCTGGTGCGCGATGTGTAAACATCGCCACTGGGGAGACAAAGGCGATCGGGTGTGGTGCTGGCCACCCACCCCCTCGTGTGCCGTGCCCGCCTTCATAGGTGCTCGCTAACAGCACTTGCCCCAACAGTCTGTTAAGGCTATATGGGGGGGCGGGGGATTATGTCTTTGTGTTTTTGTGTGTCTGAAGACGAGGTGATGATGCTGGAGGGCTGCACAGTGCTGTATCGTCCCAGCATGGACGTGTGTGTCTATGTGGTGGGAGACTCGTGCGGGAACGAGGTACGATCGTGCAGCAGCAGCGGCACACGCAACGCGCGATAGCCATGTCACACGTGAGGACATTACGGTCACATCACGTACAACTTTTACAACAACAAAAAACAATAGCACACGCACACACACATATATATGAAATGTGCATCCATGAATAATTGAAGTGTCGAAGGCAGATGAGAAAATATGTGTTTGGAAACAGAATTCATGTGTGCTGAATGTGCAATTGTCCACGTGAAATAATGTGGCCCTGCGTGTGGTCCGTGTGTCGGCCCGTTCAAGTTCAAGTTCATGTATTAGGTATAGCCCTGTGAGCCATTCGGCTCTTGAATCGGGTGCAACCGCAACAAGCAAAAAAACGTGAACAAGAAAACATCTTAAAGTGAATATGTGACTATGTGCAAACAGAAAATCCAAGAAAAGACAGCAAAATGTTGCAGAAAAAGCACCGTACACCAACGCTGTGTGCAAAAACCCCAGTGGGATGCAAGTCAAACAACAACAACCACAAGACAACTTAGATTAAGGCCATCAGTTTTACTCTGTACTACAACAAACAAACATGGCCAAACCAGTAAACTTTTCGAAATCACCAAAATAAAGCAATGAAACAGCCCGTGTGCGGAGAGCGGTAGTGCGGTGGTCAGCGCACTGCACTACGAACCCGACCACCCCGAGTTCGATTCCCGCTCACAATAAAAAAAAACCAGTGGCGCATATTGGAACCTGCCCGGGCCCCCCCTTTAGATCGACTCAGCCTTACATCGAGTGCCTGGTGCACTGTGAACACATCGGCACTGTGAACACATCGGCACTGGGGAGACAAAGTCAGCCGGGAGAGGTGTCGCTCACCCACCTCCTCGTGTGCCGTGTCGACCTTCATGTGTGCTCGCTTGCACCACTTGCCCCAACAGTTTGTTAACGGGCTTTACGGGGGGGTGTTTATCTTTTTGTGTGTGTGTGTGTGCCCTCTCCAAGCTCATGCTGCTGTCGGTGCTGGAATGCTTGCTCAAGTTGCTCAATCTCATGCTGGGGTACGGTCACCCTTCCCTCGCATCTCTCTCTTTCACAGCGCTTTGTCAATACACTGCTGGATGAAGGCCTCCCCGTGCCGTGTCGATCATGAGGGTTGTTTACTCGACCTGTGGAGAGCGGTGGCGCAGCGGTTAGCGCTATGCTGCGCTACAAACCCGGCGACCCGAGTTCGATTCCCGCTCACGGCCAACACCAGTGACGGTCATAATGCACCAGTCCTGGGTCTCCCCTAGGTCGACTCAGCCTCAATTGAGTAGCTGGTGTGGTGTATAAGCATCACCACTGGGGAGACAAAGGCGGCCGGGCGTGGTGTTGGCCCTCGTGTGCCGTACCGGCCTTCATAGATGATCGCCAACAGCACTTGTTACAACAGTCTTTTAAGGCTATACGGGGGCTCTTTGTATGCACTATACCTCACTATGCTGGTCAGCACGTATTCATAAAGGTCAGGGCAAGGGGAGAAGGGCGGATATCACTCGCCACTGATGTTAGCCATGACCAGGAATCAAACTCAGGTGTCCGGGTTGAGAGCGCAGTGCTCTAGCTGCAGCACTTACAATTCGCCCCGAAAACCATGATCATACAGGACCGTATCGCCCGAAACATGCGTGCAGCACTTTTTTAGATTGTATTTATTTAACATTGCCGCCTTGTTTACTTGCAGCTCTTAAGATCTATCGTGTGTGAAATGATGCAGGGTGTTCATCTCGGGGCTCCCGTGGAGAACGCAGTAACAACCCCCCCACCCCATCTCCAAGCGCGATTGTTTGCCTGGACAAGCCCCACAAGCTGTGTGGGTGGTGGTGGTGGTGGCGCGTGCCCGTGGAATGACCCAGTGGTGAACCGTGCGATGTTTGCGACAGGAGCGTGGAGAGGAGCGCTGTGCTGGAAAACATCGACGCCCTCCTCCTCGCTGTGGATGAGATCGTGGATAGAGGGTGAGGCAGTGCCGGGTTAAGCTGGTGCGGGGCCTGTAGCATATGGTATAAAGGGGCCGTAAATAAAAAAAAACGCGTAAATATTAAAACACAGATTTTGAAATTGCATAGTAAAGTAATTGTATTTTTTAATTTGCAATACAGCCAGATAATACGACAATTCGCTAACCTTAAACACCCAGTTGTTCATAGAAGTTGAAGGCGGTATAGTACGATAGTAACAGAGCAAGTGCAGAATTACTGAACCGGAATTGATAGCTTGAAAGCATTTAGCGCGGGGCCCTTGAAAGTGCGGGGCCCGTAGCTACTACAAATAGTAGTAGCTACTTTTGCTACTGGGATAATCCGGCACTGGGGTGAGGCCAATGCCGGTGGGATCTTTGCAGCCCGTGGCCCGCCGATGTGCGTGATGTACACTCTGCGTTAAATTCAATTTCATTTGTCTCACCCGAGGACATTCAATCCGTCGCACGAGCTCCGATCATCCTCGCGGTGGCGGCTTTTCGTCTGGCCATTGAACAAAGAAGGCCGCCACATCGCGCACTTCCAGACGCACTTCTGCGGCTATCTGGAACGTTGTTCCTTCCGATATTAGGAAGCCACTGGAGCTATGCACGTTTAAATCTCGATTGAAAACTCATTTTTGTTCGAACCACTTTTTGTGTTTAGTTTTTTGTACTTCCTCTGCACCTTCGATTAGCGCGGTTGGCTACATACGGTTGCGAAATAATTTCAACATACATACTTACTGGGTCTTCTGATATTTGCACGGGAAAGTTAATCTTCAGCATCAGCTACGCAGGCCGTAGTCTCTGAAATGTCAAAGACACACCCGCACACTGAGTCACGGAACTGGGCTCATCTCAACTGCCAATCCCCCTTTACCCAGCTGAGTTATCATATGTTGTCCTAAACCTCTTCTTGGTTCTTTCGGTAAAGTCACGTAGAAGGGAAATAATAAAATAATAAAAATAAAACATCATAAAATCATTCCCACGACGTTTCGGCCACAACGCAAGCAGTCGTCCTCAGGTGAAGAACAGGTCTGTCGGAAAGACAGCGTCATTTATTATTTTTTCATTTCCCTTCTACGTGACTTTACCGAAAGAACCAAGAAGATGAAAACCCTGCAGTCACGAAAGCTTTAAATCGAACAATTATCCTAAACCGCTGTAGTTGCGTTCCTGAATAACATTGCGTTATGGAAAATCGCGTTATGATATATAACCTTGTGGGTAAAGCACAGTCCGTGATCACGCGTGAGATGCGTACGCGGGCTGAACAAATACCGAGACGCGTGCACAGCATCTGGAAGCAACCAGCAGCATGCTAGATTTGAAGCTTCTAGATTTGAAGCTTTGACCGAGTGTTAACATCCCCAGCGTTTAACAGTACTCTCCTTTTTCGTATTTGATTGTCAGCCAACACTGGTGAAAACAACATGGGCATTTTCGTTCTCTTCTATCATGTGCACCAACAGGGGCTTGCGCACAAACACGTATACGTACACCTCGTGCTCTCTTTTAGCCCCCCCCCTCCCAATACGTTCCATTCATTGGCTACCACATTCTGATAAGCTCCACCCCCACTCCTCCCCCTTAACTTGTATTTAAGAACTTGCATTTTGGAATCCCTGCCTCACTTGATACAGCAAATCTAGCAGTGACGGTCCCACCTGATGACGGAGACTTGTGTTGCCTCCGAAACGTCGTGATTTTTATTATTTTATTTTTTATTAATTTTAATTTCATTTTTTACCTACGTGACTTTACCGAAAAAACTAAGAGTATGAATCCAGCAGCATCCCGCCTTGTGCGATGCTACGCCGGAGGCAGCCGTGCAACCGCTAATTCCTGCTCGCGCGACGTAGTTCAGTTTTACTCGATCGCGTTGTGTCCAATTCGCATCCGCGTTATAAAAATGCGTCGCCGAGTACATTCGTCGCGGTATATCCCATTCGCGTTGCGAAAACGCGCGGCGTTCTAGGAGAACGGACTGTGCCGTGGACTCATCCGATTTGTAAATCCATCGCTCGGGGAAGTGTTCGTACATCCCGACGCAGACCACTCTGCAGAGAAAGACCGAGAGACTAATAACACTGGTCAACACACTTTTCTGGTATAAGGTATTCCAACGGTTTTAATGTAATTTTGGGGTGCTGATTCCAAATCTGGCATCAGTTTTTGTTTATCACATCAGGTTTTTGAGATATCAAATATTGCATTTTCAAAGAAAAACTGCAAAAGAAAAATATTAAATAAATGTGGATAGCGACATAAAATGATATTATAAACACACTATCCTAAAAATACAGCAACATGTTTTAACACTAAAGCAGTCACTGACTCGCAACAACTTGCAATCATAAGTGACAGAGTTAATTTCGGGTAAAATCAATGAAAATGAGGTATGCCGATAGCATAAAATGAGATGTGATAGAGCAAATCTGAGATCAGATTTGGAATCAGCACCCTGAAATTAGTCTAAAACAGCTGCAAAAGTCCAGGCCAGAAAAAAATATTTTGTTGTTGTTGACCAGTGTAATCCCGGAGGCTTCGCCGAGATAAACACTTTAATAAAATGCAGTACTCTGTACTTTGTATGTGAAGTCCTTTTGTCGATCGACTGCCGGATACGGGCTTGCTCGCACTTGTGCGGATAGTGTGGGGGGGTGGATTGTTTGAACATACTCTTCACATTCGTCAGTGATGGTTGGTTGAATGCCAGCCGCACGGATGCTTCGCACACTGCAGCGATGCAATAGATTCTGCTTCACTGCCCTCTGCTGACAATGTACTTTTTGCTGTACTGTGCATCTTGCAAAAATTGTACATTGTGATGTCCGTTCGGTTTCATGCAAATGTTCATGGGCCCGATTTAACCTCCAGGCCCACAAGCACAAGTTCGACAATGTCAAGATTGATTTGTTGTTGGAGTTATCACCCACATTCTGGCTAAAGCAGAGGGAGCCACAGTCACGTCGCTGGCTTTATTAATATTTAACAATTGTACTACTGTGAGTATACTTGTGAACTATTAACCTCATTGGTACTGGACATGGACCCCCCCCCCCCCCACCGTGTGTGTGTCACGTGGCGCAGGGTGGTGCTGGAGGTGGACGCTGAGGTTGTCCTGAGTCGGCTGCAGCCCAAGGTGGTTGCTGGATCTCACCCCCCCCCCCCCACATTCAACCCCCCCCCCCCCACATCAGTGTTCTTCATTGCAAAGGTCCACGGGCAAATGGTGGCCTGCCTCCCCCACCCATCACCGTGCTGCTGTCAAAACCCCAAATGTTGTCTCAAATGCGTGGTGGCCCTCGCACACTGATGATGTCTCATTGGCGAAAGTGCTCCTACCCCCCCCCCCCCCCTTCTGAAAATGAGGGAAGAAAGCTTCTTTAACACTACTGGATTATTTAAAGAAAAATCTTCTTGGTTCTTTCGGTAAAGTCACGTAGAAGGGAAATAATAAAATAATAAAAATAAAACATAATACAATAATTCTCACGACGTTTCGGCCACAACGCAAGCAGCCGTCCTCAGATGAAGAACAGGTCTGTCAGAAAGACATTCAGACAGCGGTCTGCGCTATGAACCTCGTGTCTTGCGTTGTGGCCGAAACGTCGTGATAATTATTTGTATTATGTTTTATTTTTATTCTTTTATTATTTCCCTTCTACGTGACTTTACCGAAAGAACCAAGAAGATGAATCCCTGCAGTCACGAAAGCTTTAAATCGAAATTAAAAGAAAAATGTTAAACTTTTTTTGCAACACGTTTTATTACAATCGCTTAAGACCGGGAGCGGTGGTGCACTGGTTCGCGGTCTGCGCTATGAACCTCGTGTCCTGAGTTCAATTCCTGCCCACGGCTAACATCAGTGGGTGGCGAGCGATATCTGAAACGGCCTTTCCTTCACCAAGCTATGGACAAACACGGCTTGGTGGAGCACTCCATGCAGTGGGGAGGTCGGTGCAGTTGAACCACCTGCACACTCAACGGCTACGTCACTGTTATTATCAGCAATGTTTATATCCCTTGCTTTTGCCTAACGTCAATATTATGTGTCTGTGCCCACTATTTATCGTATGACAGGTTAACTACATACCTGTGACGGAACAGACGATGTCCCAGGTATGCATTCCACTGCTGCGTAATGCCAACGGCTGCGAAATCAATGGCTGCTCAGAGGGGTGGTGCAATGATGTTATGTTCACAGAGAGGGCAGCGAGGGTTAAAATGTTTCCAGAGAATAAACGGCCTTGTTAAAAATAAACATTGAGTAATGTTTAAACGGTACACTCACGTTCACGGAGTTGCACCGATAGGGAGGAGAGTGAAACAGTTGATACGAAATGTTGGTGCGCCGGGAGACATTTATTTGTCTCTCTATACTCAGATGTTCAATTAATACGCTCGTTTTGCACCACCTGGACGTTCAGCTAAGGCTTAGCTCGACACGTGAGCTGGCCACACTTGTACCCGATACCCGTGCTAGTATCAGCACTGTGAGTTGTAAATGTCTGTTGCTACTCTTTGGTTTTTCGGTAAAGTCACGTAGGTTTAAAGAAAACAAATACTTTAAATCACGACGTTTCGGAGGCAACACAAGCTTCCGTCTTCAGGTGAAACCGTCACAGCAAAATTGCTGTAAGCAAAATTGCTGTATGCCAGCCGAAACGTCGTGATTTAATTTATTTGTGTTCTTTTAACCTACGTGACTTTACCGAAAAAACCCCAAAGAGTATGAATCCTTGCAGTCACGAAAGCTTCAAATCTAAAATGTCTGTTGCTGTCGTTGCAAACTTAGACAAAGCCACCGCCAGTCCATCAACAGATTAGCTCAGTAACAACAGTGAATCCCGTGTCCAGTCTGCATTGCGTTGGTTGCATGCATCACAAAGTCGTAGATTTTAGATTTTAGAGAGTGCAACTCTTGATTTTGTAGCGACACTTTTTGGTAGGGCCTCATCATAGAAGCAACTGTGAGGATGCCAAAAAGTCAGAATTTGTCTTTTGGGAATGAGATATTGATTTGTTAAAGAAACTTTCCCATCAGGACAATTCTGAATAAAAACCCTGTCTCTAGATCTAAATAAAGCTCGTGTTTTATCTACCCTTTAAACACAAAGCAAATACAAATATCTGCAATTGGTCATTTTTTTCGACAGAAAAAGGCAAGTTCGTTATAACTGAATCAGTCCTTGCATCATGCCTGACATGTCACATTACCTCACCATACTGCATGTTTTATTGACGCAGCACGGCTTTAGGCCACTAAGAGACAAAACTGTGGCCACATTTGTTTACTTGCTGTTTGAAATCACCTTGTGCATGCATTGTTACTCGCATTTGTCTCCATCCTGCACTCCCCATCACATTAGTTTCTCATCATCGACAGAAAGTGTTTCGAGTTGATTTGAAGAACATTACATTTTTTTAATGTAACTTCTGCTTGTTTTTCTTTCTCCTTTGTGTTTCTCATTCTCTGCAGCTCATGCAGACTGCCAAGCAGCACATCAAGTGGCCCCTCCTGCAGTGAGCGTGGTGTCAGAGTGATGTGCGGCAAATGGGAGAGCGCGCTGGGCATTACGTTACTGAGCCTGTGGTGGCAAGGGGTTATCTCCCTCGCCTGGTATGCAGAGGGATCGTGGGTTCGATCCCGACCCTGACACCTGCTGTATTTTAGGAAGTTGCATGTTTTCTCTCCCCGTGTCCACGTGGATTTTTTTCTCCAGGTCCTCAGGTTTTTCCGCCCTCCACATTTAAAATCAAAATGCCTTACGAGTATTTGGCTGCTAGACATTTCCAGATGATAAGTCACTTCGTTGAGCTTTCATTTGTGGCCAAGTCGCTTATTAAAACGATCTATATAGCTCAGCGGATCTTACGTGGTAAAATTAAAATTAATGAAATAGTAGGAGTAATAATTATTATTTGAACACGTAACGCGCATAGTATTCCCTTGTTCCCAAAGAGAGAAAGAGAAAGGCTTGGAAGGCGTGAGGAACCAAGGGCAGCCAAGTGACGAGCCAGTTCCAAACTTCTTCTCCAAGTTCTGGAGCCCTCGATGTAATTTAAATTATGATTTACAATACATCATAATTGTAATAACTATTTAATTTAAATTAGAATAATTTTAATTATTATAGGTTGTGGTGCACAAGGAAAATATAACCAGAACAAAAACTCAACACAGTCGTCAATAAAACTGCCTTAAAAGAAAATATTATAATAGACGACGTTTCGGGCAATGGCCCCTTGGTGCAATGAAGCTCAAACCATCGCCTATTTATTTTATTTGAAGGCCACAGTGTTATTGACGGAATGTGTTCAGTTGTATTCCCCTCCATATATCCAGGGGTTATTGGCCAGTTACCGTGTTGGGTCTTCACTGTAGCGAGAAACGTCTTGACACATCAATGTTGACCCCCATATGTTTGTGAGCCAGTGGCCTGAAATGAAGCTTCGTGTGCTTTTTGTTGCACTCGGCGCGGTGGTGGTGGTTGTGGTGTGTGTGTGGTGTTCACGTGACGTGCACGAGGCACGCGGTCGCCACAATTGCGCCTTTCACCGCCGGCTCGAATTCACATGTCGCGTGTCATTACCATTGTCATTAAATATCGCACGCACAGGAGTGACGACGTCTTGGCTCAGAGAGCAGGAGGAGGAGTGGGCCAGGGGAGGGGGGGGAATGGCTTTGTCACGACGGTCCTGGGGCGCCTCCTACAGATCGATGCGTAACATTGCACGTCCCCCCGTTGTGAAGTGGGACCTCAATGTGACCCAAAATTATTATCAATTTTCATATACCGTACGTAACACACCCGATTGTTCAGGTGTGGTCTACAGAATTCGGACTAAAGAAAGAAACACGTGTACTATGTGACAAACCATAAATCGTTCCAAGAAAAGGTTAACGAAATAAAATCTGCGGTGAAGCTTTGAATATTAACCTTCAGCAACAAATTGGGCACTTTTTAACGAACCGATATAAATTTTGATTTAAATCTTTCGTGACTGCAGGGATTCATATTCTTGGTTCTTTCGGTAAAGTCACGTAGAAGGGAAAGAATATTTTTTATATTTTTATTTTATTATTTCCCTTCTACGTGACTTTACCGAAAGAACCAAGAATATGAACCCATATAACTTTCGTTTATTTGCTCACGTATAATATAAAGGGAATGCACAGCCCTTGTCAATCCACTACTTGGATGAAGGCCTCGCCGTGCCGTGCCACTGTTTGACCGCGCACACTTCACGGTGGTCACTGCGGACTGGTGAACGGGAGCCCGGGGCAGGCTCCGGAGACACTCGCCACTGGCGTTAGCCGCGTCGAGGAATCGAACTCGGGACGTCGGGTTCACAGTGCAGTGCCGCATCTACGACGCCACCGCTACATATACGGTACAGTATTAGAATACATTTATTGAAAATCTCTTAACTTGAATTGCAAGACTTTTTTTGTTGCAATGATAAAACACTTTTTTTGCTTTTATTTTCCTGTAAAAAAAAAATAGTGAGGTGGGTGGCCGGTGCAAGGGGGGGGGGGGCGGCGATGGTGAAGAGGCGAGAGAGGGGGGGGGGGTGCGCATTCTCGGAGCAAAATGCCTCCTCGTCTCCCGTGTTTCGCCCGAGTAATTCCCTTGGCATCCCACGGCGCTGGCCCGGCGCGACCTCGGCCAAGGGGGCAGGGTCGTCCCCTGCCCCCTGGCCCGGGGGCCTCGCGAGGGGGGCCCAGTGACGTTCGTAGCCGTGGCCGCGCGGGGTGCAGCCTTCCTGTCTGCACGGCTTTCCTTCCTCCAGCCGGTGGCACAAAGTGACGGCGTCTCTCGACTCGCGCCGCCGGCGAATCGGTCCCCGAGCGGCAGGTTAGGAAGGCCGGGCGCTTCCCATGCCTCTCCGAGCCCACGCGGCCGCGCGGCCCCTCTGATGAAGGAACAAGCCCCCCCCCCCCCCCCCCCCTCCGCGCTCTTGGCACACAATAATGGGACACGTGTTGCGAATGTTGAGTTGCCTTTTGGGTGGCTAAAAACGCACGTCGCGTCGGAGGTGGCGCGGTGCCGCTGCTCAGAGTTATTTTTAAGGCGGTCAAAAAGCTCACGGCATTGAACTTTTTCCAGCCTTTTGTGAGCTGCATGCTTTCCATCAATTGTTAGTTGATGTTTTGTTTTGGGTTTTTTTCTCATTAAAGGCAATGCCAAAATCCACATCGCAAAGCAGCAAGGGATCTGGGTTTTGTTCATGCAGTGTAGCAATGTCAGCTTTTGTCAAAGGGAAAAAAATAGTCCTAAATGAGCCTCGTGTACGTTTCAACAACTAGACGTGAAGTGGTCATGGGACGTTACTTTAAAACTTAGTGATTATGTAACAATTCAAATAGTATCGATTGACAGCCCTTCGAGGTGAGTTTTCATTGGACACTTGGCCACGAAAAAAAGTGTCTTCAAATCATGCTGATAGTCGGTCTTGATCTATTCACCGCTAACTGAATGCCTCTTCCAAACTATTGCGACCCCTCACGTTCAACGAGCCATCTCGCTCCCGCACACGGGGTCATCTCATGGCTCCATGTGGACGTTCTCCTGTTCGCTCGCATCTTTGGCTGCCATTCCATCGTTAGTCTCGACCACTGGCCATCGTCCCTTCTGGGCGCCACGATGGCTACGAGATGTTCACTCCCTCGCCGGGTATACAGGAGGTCGTGGGTTCGATCCCGACCCTAACGCATGTATACTTGGAGTTTGCATGTTCTCTCTCTCTCTCTCCCCGTGGTCGCGAGGATTTTTCTTCCGAGTCCTCCGGTTTTTCTGTCCACATTTAGAATCAACATTACGCGTTTAGAGTAGTTGCTTGCTGTACATTTCCACACGACGAGCCACTTCGTGGAGTTATCATTTGTGGCCGGGTCACTTCCGTAAAAGAGCTGCATAGCTCAGTGGGCCTTACCTGGTAATATTAAACATAGTTGAGTAAAATAGTTCGTGGGACGTGCCTTGCTTCAGCTCATTTTCATCAACATGTAACACGATGTCTGGTCTGCTTCGCGAATCTTCTCTGATCCACGTATTCCTCATTCTGTCTCTGATTATTGTGCTTCCAAGCGCGCCCCCCCCCTGCACGCAGCTTTGCGCAAGTTTCAGCCTTTGTTCCGCTTTCTCTATCATTGTCAATGTCGACGAATACAAACACAGTTGGTATAAAGCACATCCTTGGCATTTTTTCTTCTTTCTACAAAGCACTTCAACCGACACGCGTGTTTTCTTTAGGTGGCTATTGAATCACACCAGGACAGTATCCATCTGTCGCTAATAACACAGCCGTCACGTTACAACATCCCCTATCTCCTTCACAAAAGTTGGCCAGAAAGTAGATTCATGTTTGTGGATCAAATACGGCAGTCCTTTTATTTAAGACGCGGTCTCTACTGCCACCACGTGGAGCGTTAGGAAATCTGCACATTGGCTCTGCCCCGTGGATTTGCGGGGACAATCTAGTCAACATTGTCGTTGGAGAAAAGCAAAAAGACGATGCTCGTTCATGCTTTAACGTGGCAATATCTAACACGTGCCGGACAAGCAGATATCCCCAGCAAGACGCTGCTGGCTCTGCTCACGCGTGCAGCTGTGCATGCCGAACGCCAGACGTGACAATGTCTGTCCAGAAGCAGCAGATGGTGCGATACAAAGATGCTACCCCCCCACCTGTCAAAGACGACGACGACGCCGCTCCCTACCTGAGCAAGTTTTTCCAATCATCTTTGATTGCGCCTTAGCGGTTGACCCCGCGTGCTGTACGGGGCATGTGGCCGCTGTTGCTGACGCATAAACGGTGGCTGGAAATATCCAGTGGCATATAGCGTGGCTGGCCTCCCCTCTGCTTGGTGTAATGAATGAATGAACGAAATTGGGCATCACGTTCAATTTCATCCGCTCCCCCCCCCCTCTCTGATCCCGCTTCGTCCCTCGTCGCAGTCCGGCGCTTGGGTCCCTCCGACCTCGTGGTTCCCCCGGTGCAGTTGCACCGCCTGCACCCGCCACTCTGCAGACCTCAGCGTTGCTTCACCTTCATTCACAATGGCTTGAATATTCTGAATCTCATCGGACAACCCCGAGAATGTGCGTGGCCGTGCACCGCCCAGCATAAGTCCTCGCCACGATCCCAGCTCCGTCCACGCAGCACAGGTGATTCTTAACCTTCACTAGGTTTTCACTGGGTTATCAGAAGGCATCTCGCACCCCCAGGAGGTCGGTGCACCCCAGGTTAAGAACCACTGCCCTGGCGTGTGGCTCTGTGTCTTTGAGGCCAGCCATTGCGGTATGAAGTTTCACTCGCCGCCGAGTGAGCCAACGCACAGATTGCACACGTGTAGGTAGTGGCCTTGTTCATGCATTCGCTTGTTAAGCGTCACTCCACGCAAGATAATTTCTCCGTTAGCCGCTGACGGGTGCCGCCCCTTCGTCGGAGTTACTCTGCAAGTGTAACTGGAGAATTATCATTTTGCTAAGGCCACGCGTTCACCTGGGGGTTTCTCAGCGCAGCTGCAACACGCCAGACTGAAGGTGAATTATGTGGGCACGTGCTGGTGAACTTCTTTGGCACCGTACGTAGGCCGACCGTGCCGATCGGAGGTGCGGGGGAAGGACGGCAAAACTGAACACAAACCAAAAACAGTTGCAAATTCGTGCGTTCGATGATGCTGCGTCGGCAGCGGTGAACGAATGACACGCACAGAGCAACGCGCTCGTCAATAAGACCGTGGCCTTAAAATGGGTGACGTTTCGGGCAACCGTGCTTCTTCACAGCACACACGGCCAGACAAAGGCCTCCTGGCGCCTTGTTAGACATTGGAGTCCGTTTGACCATAATTCACCACGCTGGTCAATGCAGGTTGGGTGAAATAGGAACCAATGTTAAGGACGTATGTTGAACGTCTTTCGCATCGTACGAAGCCAACCGTGCTTGATCGGAGGTGCACTGCCCTCTGGCAGAAACATCTCTGACTCCGTTATGTTCTAGATAGACTCGAAAGATTTATTTTTGGGGGGGGAACTGCCATAAAATATAAATGCTCAGATAAAACCCGCAACTAATGTTAGCCGGGAATCAATGTCTCGTGGCCAGGTTCATAGCACAATGCGCTAGACCACTGCGCCACCGTTCCACTTTCACTACATGATGTACATTTGGCATAAACGCCTAAAGCCCGTCCACAACTTGTGATACATGAGACTGACATTTGCGTTTCACAATGAGGATTTGTGAGCATCAGGCACACAACCACCACTCAGGATGGTGTGTATGTGTGTGTGTCATCCCTAACCCTTGGAGCAGAGCAAACCCAACCTGTTCTGTCAGTGCATTCTTACGGGACCTGAAAGATCGCTTTCAGGTGAACTCAGGACACACGTCGAGAGTAAACCGTAATTAGAGGCTCCGACATGGGAAGTGCATTTTAGTTTTTTTTTGGGGCGGGGGGGCAATTCTTGTGTTGTTTTAACCTTCATGATTTGGCAGACAGTCTTCGTGACCGCCGTGGATGTGAGTGGTTCGTGTCCTGCAGCCACTCGTTAGAGAAACCGCAGGGATTCGCAGGAGTGTATTTATTTTACTAAACAGTCCACAGTTGTTGTGCATGCGGGGTCATTGTTAATGCTGTGTGCGCAGAGCTTTGAGCCATTGCTTTGTTAATTAGCAAGCACGTACTGAATTTCCATTGGGATGCAGGAGAAATTACTCAGTGGGGGTGTTTTTTTTAACCTCGTGTGCTGCGGTTTTTCGCGTTGTTATTACAGTCGTGTGTTGATTATAATCGCCGGAGATTTGGATGTAATCCTTCACGTGTAGATTATCTTGACTTCAAGAGAATTCGCGACGACCTGAAGGTAGGCTGTTCCACAAAGTTTCGAGGATACGTACGATTGGGCCTGTCCGCGAGGAAGCATTTTTTCTAGTAACAGCGTCTGCGTCCAACTGATTTTCCCAAACAATTTTTATATCAAACTAAAACACGCTATGTGCCGTACGAAATAGTTGGAAGGGAACTCCAGCAAAAGCCATTGGAATTATCGCGGTCACAAGCAACACGAGTTGCCAGCTGCGTCTCTCGTGCAATCGGCAGAGGGCAGCAGAGCCTTTGCGTTCCAGAGAGCTGTGATTGGCAACACAACGTGTTCTTTGCAATTAACCTCAAATGTTCAAGATCGATGCCAACACAAATTCAGAGGAACTCCCGCAGTTTGCATTTAACGGAAACGAATTCAAAGTGTGCTACCCAGTTTAATGACAGGTGCAGTAACTACACTACAGCCTCTGTTTATATATATATATATGGGGCCGTCCATAAATGACGTCACGCGATTTTGGACGATTTTTGACCCCCCCCACCCTCGTCACACGCCGTCACAAAAAGTCAGACCCCCCCCCTAAAATATGACGTTACAAAGCTCTGCGCCCCCCCCCCCCCAAATAAAACATGCTTCAAAGCGCTTTAAACTA